TCGGCCTTGGCGCCCTGCTGGCCTCCGGACGTGGTGGACAGGTCTTCGGGGACCGGCATGGGCTCGTCGCTGTCCTCCGGGGTGTCGCTCACTGGCGGGCTCTCCTTCCCTGTGGAGAGAGGTGAGAGGTGAGCTTCTGGGATGTGGCCATCGCTGGGGGCCCTGGTCACTGGGCAGAGGCCAGCGGGGAAGGCTCGGGGCCTAGGCTCCCCTGGGTGTGGCCTCAGAGGAGGAGGAGGCCAAACACGTAAACCACATGCACTGCTGGAGATCCCACTGTTACAGCCCTGGAGTGTGTGTGTGTGCACGTGCGTGTGTGTATATGTGTGTGCATGTGTGTGTGCATGTGTGTGTACATGCCCACACATTTACATATTGTAGACAATACGGGGTGATACATGCTCTTCATAAAAATAAAGTTCCTGCCTAAGACGTTGCTGTGACCACACTGCCTCCCTTCAGTGTAACGTCTGTGTCACACCCACTGTGCAGGCGCACAAGCTTCGATTTAAATCCTCCTTCTATTTTGGAACTTAGGTTGGTTTGTATTATTATTATCATTATTTTAATCCTCACCTGAGGATAATTTTCCATTGATTTTTAAAGAGAGTGGAAGAGAGAAACACATCAATTGGTTGCCTCCTGCTCGCACCCCAACCAGGGCCGAGGTACATGCCCTTGACTAGAATCAAACCCGGGACCCACTGAGCCACACTGGCCAGGGCTCTATTTATTTTTTATCTCACAGCACGTGGCGGACCTCGCCAGAGTCCAAGCACCAGGAGTCCAGGCCCCGCCAGGCAGCTGTGTCCCGCTCCACACCCTCTGCCGGCTGTTCTGCGGGGTGTCCTTCAGGGTGCCCAGTGGGGTGGCCTGCGGAGTGTCCGATTCCCGGCCTACCCCGGCCGCCACACCCTTCCTGACCTCGTGGTCAAGGTCGGCAGGCTGGGCCCCTGCTGAGAGGCACGGTGTGGGGTGTCCGCATTCTTGTCGGGATGTTTCGGCAGCTGCCTGGCCTGACCCACCTGGTGGGGGGCATCCTGGGGAGCGGAGGACAGGCGGCCCGGCCCGTGGGTCCCCAGGGCTCACCCAATCCTGCCTGCGGGTCCTCATCTCTGAAGCATGAAAGTTCAGTGTGACCGCCACAAAGCAGGGTTACCAAGGCCGGGGCTCCCCACGCCCCGTGTCTACCTGACGGGGGGAGAAGGAGGTCCAGCCCAGGCCCCGCCCCAGACGCTGCCCCAGACACCATGGCAACCTGTCCACCTGCCTCAACACGGACGAGAGGTCAGCCGCAGGCCAGGAGCAGCCGCGAGGCCCCACGTTCGTGCAGATGACCCTCAGGGAGGGGAGCAGGCGAGATGGACGCCCCGGAAGGTGAACAGAAGCGACAGGGTGGCCTGTCTGCGGCAGGCGGGCCG